CTGTGAATCGGATAATACTAGAATGATTAGTTAAAATATTTGAACACGGCTTTTCCTACTGACACAATTGTTCACATTTTGTGTAAAGGGTAAATAATTACTGCAGGGGCTGCTTTGTAAATATTATTATTCGAATCGTCAATATCATTTACACCCGAGTGATTAAACCGTTTTCCGTTGGGTCAGTGTCAACGGGCAAAAATTAGAGTACAGAATATTTTCGAATAGTTATAAATATTTTCACAAGTGTTGGATTAATTATTTTACTCATAATGATTGATAAGCATTTTGGAAAATATTTCATCGGAGAATAACCATTTCACCATGGGTAATGGTCATAAAGAGATGCCAAGAAACATCAAGATGAAAGGGGGGGAATCAACTCTGTGAACAACAGATACCAAGGATGCTGGCTGATGAAGAAGACGAAGTAAGCAAAGTAGCCAATATAAGGCTTAGTCATCTTTCCAAATAGTGAGCCTGTGTTGATGTATGAAATCTATTTTATAACTGGTTTATAAATGGTTCTTAATGATTAATAAAGTGTTTACAACCTAATTCATAACCTATTTATAAACCTGTTATGAATCCTTTATAAGGGTAGTCTCATTGTAAAGTGGTACCCAGCTATGTCCTAATTCAGAGCCTGGATCTGATGGATGTGACTCACAAAGGCAGGACAGTTAAAGTAACTGAAGGCTGGGGGTTGTTTGAAACAAACCACGGACACCCTCAGTTCTGCAATTACAGAGAGGGGCGAGACAGTGGATTCTACAAATGGGGTTAACAGTGAACACTTTCAGACAACCAAACATGAGAGAAGAAAAAATGGTTTCTTAACAAGATGTGTTCCCATTTCCAACACTGAGACACTGCTTGATGGTCCGACAAGCACTTCACAATCAAATCACTGTGACACTTCAAGACAGCACCTCCTTTTCCAGGTGACATGATCTGCCTCACAGAGACCAAAACTAATGATGCGTCCTGGTGCTGCTTGTAAAAACTCAAAGTGCCAGTAACACGTCAAGAATTGAGAACTTCATTATGAAAAGGAAGTATTTCATCCTATGGCCCTGATATTCATAGAGGCCTTAGTGTGAAACGCATCAGACAGAATCTGTACTTTTAGGGCAAATTAATTCAACCCCAACAAGTCGCCTAGTTAAAATAAGTATGATGATATCCAACGTTCCATTAGACAACTGACTGGTGCACAATGGGGTCCCCAATTCCAGGAATTTCATAGTTACATTTGGAGGATCGTTCACATTTGGAACAGGTCTTGCCCTTTGATATTTGACATGTTTAGATACATAGACATTGCAGGATCCAGTCCCTGAAGTTGAAAAAGCAGACAGCTGCTGAGTGTGGATGGAGTAATGTCGGTGATAAACAGAACTAGATACAGATGAGGTATTTTTCTAGCTTTCCCAAAGTTGTGATATCCTCTTCAAACTATTTTCTGCTTCCCAGAAAACCATATCAAATGAGGGTGGATTACTTTTGTGTTACCACAATGATGAATGTTTTATGACAACTTCTACATTAACACGGACAGCCGGAACATCTCATAGTCTATTCTGTTTTGAATCCTTTCCCTTATGACAGCACTTTGATGCTCTGTTTTCAGATTGGAGACATGCTAAACACGCATTTAGTGAAATGGAAACAACACAAAGACACATACACAACACAGTGACTGTGTGAGAGCAACTATGGCCTCAGTCTCCTTCTGAGACACACACACACACACACGCTCATTCTAACTGTAGCTGTTTGTCGAGTCACGGCATAAAAGCACAGCCTTCACACCCCAGTCTTTCCAGTGCATGCTTGTATTTTCGGTGCAAACACTGGCATGCACAGGTGTGAGCGTGAGTCTGTTATATGAATCCAAAGGGAGCGTCATCAGATGGAGGTGGGGGCGTGGCAGTGAGAGGACAGGACGGGGAGAGCTTTAGTTGTTCTGAAGGCAGTCGAGATCCACCGAGCAGCAAACATTCCCATTCTGAGCGCCGCAGCATGAAAAGACAGGAAAGATAGAGGGTGTTAAATATACTGCAGAGTTTATGATATGCCGTAATGTTGCATGTCACAACACGATTCAGAGTCTGCCTGGCCATAATCATTTGAAATATTTAGACGCAATAGAGGGATCTTGAAATGAGGTCTATCATTTAGTTTGAGGGTCAGTGCACGCATTTTACCAAAGGAAAAACATTATCTTCTAGTAGTCATATCTACCCATACAGTTTCATGATTATCGGCTATGGCTATGAGATATTCTTGTGCCTCCAAGCAGGGCGACATTTAGAAAAATGAACAGTAGGGGTTTCCACTGAGATATTCCCAGTTGTCAATAACAGACCTCACTGCAGTGAAACCTTTTTTATAGGAACTTTTTTACTTAGAAATAATCACCAGATATCAATATCTTAGAAGACTCTGTCGCATTAGACTCACTGTCACACTGTCCTCATCACTTGCAGTGAGATATATTTAATATTAAAACATTTTGGAGCACATCAATCAAATATATATTTTTTTTAAATGGCACCATTGGGCAATACAAATATAAACCATATATCTTGCAAAAATAATGTTACATGTAGCTTAAAAGGCACATAATAAAGAAAGCTTCCTGCATAATCACATCATGGCAACATAGACATACAATATAAACATGAAGCAATATGTAGCTCAAATGCATTCATCAGGCATAAAGCAGAAATCTGCCGTTCCAAGATTCTTAGCTGAACTGACCCGTAAAGTCAAGGCGAATAGCTAACTGACCGGGCTAATGGAGCCTGCGCCCTCTGACTATGGGGGGCTTCAGCTTTGGCTGAAAGCGCGGCCCCCCACTGCTCAGAGGAAAATCTCTGTCTTTACTAACAGTGATGCAGCGCACTGAGAGCAGAGTGGGTGATCCCAGGCCTGAGCTCCGACTGTAGCTGTTACCACTCGCTGTGACCCCAGCGTGGTAACCTGGTTAGAACTTTTTGTTAAGCTCAAAGAATTTGACAAAAGTATAGAAAGTTTATTTATGTTACCACTATACAAAAACATCTGCCATGTGATATTAATGATGCTTTTGATTCACATATTCTATGTGCTGATTGAACTTGATGGGCAGAACTGGGGGAAAACAGATTATTTTTTAAATGTGTAGGGAGATGATCTGAGTTATAGTGGCATGTTCCTGACACATTGATTTGCAAAATAAGTCATTTTAAGACTGAATATACTTTCATCATCTGTGCAAATCAAATCAAATGTATTATCATCTTTAAAAAAGACAGACAAGCAGATGTTCTATCACACATAAACTCACTGCAGCACAGTTTCCAGCTTGAACGCATTTGTACAGTAACAATAACCTATAATGCCTATCATTATCTGTGTCATTGTAAAGGTACAGAACCATTTTATAAATGACCTAATCTGAATAACGTTTAATTAGCTGCTTTCGATTTTACTACATGTACAGTTGCCTAGGTGCAGAGTTGGAGACATTTTAGATCCGTTGAAAAAACTTTTTTCCTTAAGGGAAACTCAGCAAGAATTATTTCTAAAAATGACCAAGTAAATACATTTTAAGTTGTTGAGGAGGACCCCCTTGAAAATGAGTTATCGAGGGGTTTTTCTAATAAGGAATTTCCAACAATACAAATTGTTTTGATCTTTTAGTTGAACACTGAATTATCGACACTGATTAGACAAATAACGTCATTGTGGTTGTGGCTTTGACCTACCTTACACTCGCAGTTAGTACAGGGTGAGTTGGTCATATGCCATATGTCCCCGCTCAGGCGGACGGCGCCTGCGGGGTCCTGACACGTCTGCCGGATGTCGTACGGCAGGTTGTCTGCCAGGCAGGGGTCTGTGACGCAGCGCGGGCAACACTCGCCCTCCGCCACCGCCGTGTACTCGCACATCAACACGGGGCAGACCAGAGGCCAGCTGTCCACCTCCCCCTCCTGAGTGAGGTAGAGAAAGACAAAGGGGGCGCCAATGTTATTGTGTGTTGATTGTTTTGCTGTGACTCAGCTGATCAGGCTATTTCAGTTACAGCTCTCACACTGATTTGTTGCCACATCGCTAATTAGAGAGGTGATAATTATCAAAGCCTTCAGTGCATACATAATTAGAAGCAGTACGTGTGTTGAACAAAGCCCAGCTCTGAGCCTTGTGTTACAGATTCTTTGTTTTTTATGTCATCAGTTTATTCTAACAAACGACATTCAGGGATTCAATATGAACACACATGTTTGAGCGTGTGTATGTGTTCCTGTGAACTGACCATGCAGCGGCACTGCTGGCAGCCGTACTGCCAGGACGCTCCGCTGCGATAGAGTGTGCGTCCGCTCTGATCCAGACACTGGCTGCTGGGCCTGTTGTCACAGCCGGGACAGCAGAACAGGTCCTCCTCTGGGTCTCCACAGTCACAGGGTCTCCTTCTGCAGTACGTCTGCCCGTCCTGCGGGTCAGAGGGAGGTCACAGCATCAGGGGGGGGACACACTAAAGTCCTGATGGTAGCCTGACTCACTGCAAGTAGCTGACCTCACAGAAATAGCGCAAAAATGCAAATGTTATAGTTAGATTTAAATTTGGTGTAAATACTTGTCTTTAGCATCCTTTTTAATGAAAAATTGTTTTTTAAAAATGATTATTTTGTATTATTCTTATATATTTCCTTTTTTTTCCTACCTACTTTGCAACACATCTTTTTAGATTGTTTATGTTCGCACCACCAGATACCAAAGCAAATTCCTTGTATGTGTAAACGTACCTGGCAATAAACTTGATTCTGATTCTTTGCCTGATGTCCTTGGCTGAGAAGCATTTCTGCATCTTTGAATAGGTAAGGGATATTTACCACAGGGGTCATTGTTACCGCAGTTACATGGTGTTCGGGAAAACACCTATTACATTAATTACTTTTTAAAAATAGAAACAACACCCCATTTAGTTAATTAGCAACTTTCAGCTCACATGCTCATCAAATAAAGAACACTAATTTGTTAAATACTCAGTGTTTTATAAATACAAAGTCTAAATACAGACACTACCAATATTGGCTGAAAGTTTAGGTGTCGAAAAGGAGTGAGCAGCAATCACAACTATTTGACAATATCTGGGATATAAACCTAATGTGTATAGGCAACTTCATAGGGTCAATGAGAAGACCAAACGTCAGCTATTGTGTGTGAAGCAGTATAGAGAATCATGGATGCTGACAGACAAAAAGAAAACAGAAAGCAATACAATTGATAAGATCACAGTAAGCTCTGTTTATCTCTTGTAAAATGTCTAGAGTGGGGGGTGACACAGATGTTGTCACAAGTTTATTAACCCATGGGAACATTTCTCTACCGTTGCATCCCTGGCGGTTAACCCTGCCTTCAAGAGCTGTTGAGAAAGATCCAGCAGTGTGGTAAAAGTGAAGGGTTTAAGGATTCCCTGAAGCCCTGCATGTCTTATCAGAGCCTTTTCATCTTTGAAAAGACTATCATCCTGGAGAGAACACTGAATGCCCCATCAAACAAATCCAACACTTAGGAATATGATCACGGATCATATCTAAAACCTCTCTCAGATGCTTTTAGTGAGAGCTAGTTGAAGCAATTTTACGCTCCCAAAACCCAATTTTTGTATCAATTACTTCCCAATTGTTGAATTCTTTAGGAAAATGTGTTTTTATCACACTTGTTCAAGGTAAATGAAGAATACAAAGGGAAATAATACGTTGATAAATTGAAAGGCAAGCGTTGGACACATGAATATTATGAATAGTACGATGTTAGAGAAAATGCGTTTGTTTGTTAAGGACGTTGTGAGCATACGACTGAAAATAAATCTGACTTTTGTTCTCGTTGAATGCAGACCCAAATTTGTTGTATCTTTCGTTTACAGTGGAGGTATGCGAAAAATAATCCTTCATGAATTCAAAGTAACACAATACGGTGTGAGTATTTTATATACAACAGGGGATTTTGGTGGTGAAGTATTTCTTTGCACACTGGGTCATTTGGGCAGGTATTTCAAGGCCAGCACATCTACGAAATGTTTTAATGTTTTGGCAGCAACTCTTAAATCACAGCATTTCATCAAAGCAGTGACTAAAGCATACATGAGCTAGAAGTTTGGAGTCTGGGCCAAATTGTCTGCCAGAGCTTTTCGAGCCGCCCTGTCCCTGGCTCCGCGTCTCTACCCAGAGAACTTTATGATCCATTTTACTCACCACAGCCAGCACTGTCTGGCCTTGGTGCGACATCGTTATGGAGAAGTAAAAATGTTACATAAAATGGCTATTAGAAATGTATTGGAGCCATAAAATCATTCCATACTATTAAAAGGGCAATACAGAGCCAATGTTTTATCGATGCATATTGTCCTGCTACAGTAGCCGCTCAGTCCCAGGGCAGCCGTACTGATGGCCTTCGTCTTTAAAGTTAAGGCCCTTGACTTGCTGGGAAATTACTGCAACTTTTACCGTGCCGGCAAGACGAATGAAGGCAAACTGTTCATTTTAATGACAGGAATAAGACCAGGCGTGAATGCTAAAGCTGCACTGTTGTGCCAACCAAAGCAACATCATTGCAGTTTTAAGTGTCGGCTTTATTGACAACAACTTTATGATCACAGATGACATTCTCTTTAAAAATGTAAAATATGACATGTTTACAACAAAGTCATCACATGAGGTATTTATCGACTCGCAGGTAATTTGATTCAAGCTAAAACTTTCTTAAATAAAATGTAAGCAATTGCTCCTTGTTAAGGCACATTTTTTAATTCATAACTCAACTTGTCCTTTTATTTTCCCCTGAATAAATTGTTAGTTAAAGTTTGGGAATTTGTTTTGCCATTAAGTTTCAATCTTTAAAGGTCACCTATTACGCAAAATCCACCTTTTCACGCCTTTTATACATCAACATGTGTCCTCTCTGTGTAAAGAGATTCTGGAAGCTTCAGGAAAAAAGATTCTCTCACTTTTTGTCCTGATCCATTTATATAAAAACCTGTTTGAAAATGAGCTGATCAGATTTTGGCCACTTTATGATGTCATAACGATGTTTTGGCTTGTGTAACCATTAGTCAATATCCAACCAAGGTACCCCCCCCACCTTATCACCTGAATCTCCTCCTAGAGCACCATAGTGTTCTTTTTAACCAAATATCTCTCAGAGGGGCGTGGGGAGTGGCTCCTTATTTTCCTCTAAAGTAAGAGACAGAGAATCAGCACTTTGGAAACAGGGCTGAAACAGAGGGGATTATGGGATGCTGCAATGATCTGTTTGGTGTTTCAAGCCAAACACTTCAGAGACATGTTTTGTATACATCTGAGACCTATACTATATTGATGAAAAACTGTGTAATAGGGGACATCCCTACTGTCATTCCTCAGATGCACATGCTTGCAAATCCACAAATGTCAATTATTCCTAACAAATCAAACCTGCTTTCATGGGCAAACACCAATCCGATCGACAGTTTCTTGTGAATCACCAAATAGACTGTACTTTGTGACCCTGATTACCCCTTTCTATCTCTTTCACAAACCACAGTAGCTCAACCTCGGTTTATCTTTACACGCTGGGTCTATTTTGTCTGGAACAGCTCTTGGGTATTTACATATAATTCCCTTGTGAAAAGCAGGTAAATAAACATAACTGCATGGCAAATTATGTATATCAATAGATGAGGACTGAAATGTCATAACTCATGATAAACAAGTATGATAATCTATGTTCATATGAAATGGCATGCTGGTAAATTTCCCATTTAGTCATTGAAGCATCATCCATCATTTTATATAAAATAATCCTCTGTCTCTGTTTCCTATTAATCTCAATCACCAAGCCTCACCTTCCCAAAGACAAACCTGATCAATATCTAACTTTCGTGCTGCCACACCATGCCCTATTTAGTCGAATGTAATGACAAACAGATGGAAGCAATGAGGTGCTTTTTCACCTGGGGCTTCATTTGGTCTCAGTTGTTCAAAATATCTAATGTTATGTGTTTGTTTCAAAACCATGCCTCCAATTATTAAACCCCAATCAAGTACATTCGGTAAAGTTGGACCTGAGAAATTATTCTGATTTATAAGCAACTTGGGTCATTTGTTGGTAGTTTTGGCAGCCCCTTCTAACACTTGTGATATCTTTGTTTTCTCTATGTTAATTGCTGAGCTCTGGAAAGAATGCAACATGACAAGGAAGTCTAATGTCTAGGAAATATGGGCATTCACACGATCATACCGTTTTTGGTCAAACCTATTTGCAAGGAAAAACTAAGGAGTAGAATAAAGTGATTTTAAAATATGTCTGTTGCAAAAATCTATTACCGTAGTTCCCGGTGAACATTTGACTTCATTTGCTTACCGTAGCTCACTTCAAATCGCTTTCCTGCATTATTGCATATGAAATTACTTGCAGCCTTTCTTCTGAGTAGAGTGTCTAAGTTTATCTGGTTAACAGTTGGACTTTTTATCACCAATAACTAACCTATAAAACATTGTTGAAGTGATGTAACCTGTTTCTGATACATTACTTTGGTTGGTCTAGTGATATCATAACACCAAACCATCCATACAACAACACCAAAACAAGTGGTCCTTACCTAAAGTAACCTTCCAGTGAAGAAAACTGTTTTAGATGCAGAAAAAAGGCAAGAGAACTAGCCATGATAAAGAAAAAGAAAAGAAGAAGATTGATGGGTGCTCCATATTTCTTACCAGCCCAGTTCCCTCTTAGCTCTATTTCCCTTTATATAATCATTCATCTCTTCATTGTTTATTCATCTAACTCTTCCAGTCCCTCTTCCATTTCTAAGTCTTTGTCTTTTCATATGTCTGCTCATACAGCAGTGTTACCGCTTAAAGTCTGCAGGCTTAACATACTCATGGGTTTTTCTGAAATGATAGATGTACTCACTATAAAATAATAAAATAAGGTGAATGAATACAGTTTCTTTTCAAAATATCACAAAGTGGCAAGTAATTAACTTCAAAAGAAGAAAGAGAGAATGAATGGATCCTTTCTGTCTTTCATCTGGTCTTTGGATCATTGGTAAGTCAATGCTCTTTTGAAGCTCACATTTCGGATAGCAATTCATCAACCAAAAGATATTGAAAGTATATTGTTGTGTATTTTAATAAGTAATACCTATAAGTAAAATGCAAAACCTGTTCTGCAAAATATGTCACCAATGTTAGTGAGATCTGGTTATGGAAAAACGCTCTGAAAGTTTTATTCTCTGCATAAAAGTTAGTCTGGAACGTTCTCAAAATGGCAAATTCATCAGTATGTCAGTCTGTTTTTGTTGTCGTACACCTTGGTCGCTTGAGGGTTTGGAGTTGGAAATACAAACGGAGAAAGTACAACCTTTCTCCTTGATTGGAACAAGAGTCCAAGAGTCAGGAATGTGTGTGTTTGTGCAATTCTTCGGTACCTTGCAGGAGCATTTAGCACAGCGGTCAATGCTGGGTTTCCAATCCTCTCCGTTGCGTCTGATTCCCTCTTCCTCTGTGCAGTCGCCACCGCAGCCAGACATACACACACAGTCGTAGCCTCCCGGGAGGTTCACACACACACTGTCATTCCAGCAGGTGTGTGTCTGCAAACGGCACTCATCAATGTCTGGAAGAAAAAGAGTGGGCTTTGGTATATGCTTAACAGTCCCATTCTTCAGCTTTGAAGCAACATACAGAACAAGATAAATTTAGCTTTTCCACAATAAAAAAGAGGCAACAGATTTAACACCTGAATTTTTTACATTCATGCTTTAAATGTTCATGCAAGTCAGGACGTTGTAGTGTATTCCATTGTTTTTAGTTATCTTTCTACAAAAAGACCTCCATTGATTTGAAAATACAAAACAGGTTGTGAAATTAAACATAAAAAGGGACGGATATTGCAGCCCAATAGTTTTTTTGCAACTGATGATAAATGTATTGTGGTGTGAGCTATTTCCTTTTAAGTCTAAATTGTTGATTGCAACATTGGAGTACTTTGTATTTCTGTAGCTCAAATAGGGCCCGAAATTATTACCAAGCGCTGCGCTCAAAGTTAAAATAATTTCCACTTTGACCTTGTTTACCACAGACTTTTTGCCGTTCAACCAATAAGAGGAAAGCTGTGTGTAGCGCCTCAATCTAGCAGGGGACCTAAATATAGGAGCAAGACTAACGAGATGTTTTTGTCACATGGCAATGTATTTTAATGATTCATTATTGCATGGTTTTAAGTCTGTATGTTTTATACCTTTTTATTGTGTGATTTTACTCTGAAATGTGTTTGCCTTTTTAACTGGTTTTAACTTCCTGCTGCATGCTTTCATTTTGAAATGTTTGGATTGGCCTTGCCATGCTGATTAACAATGAGTGACCACACCTGGAGCCAATTTGCACCAACAGCCCTGCCTATAAATGGAAGGAGAAGCGTAGCAGAGGACAGACTGAGGCCGTTTCTCAATGTCGAGTAAACCTGCTGCAGAGCCACTATTTCAAGTATACTACGTCATCGAGTGGCGCCGAAGGACTGTTTAAATGCATGTTAAATGCCCAGCATTCTGCGCCACTCTATGACGTCACGTAGTATACTTGAAATAGTGACTCTGCAGCAGGTGTACTCGACATTGAGAAACGGCCTGAGACTGGGAGAAACTGAAGGAGACAGCAGAGGCACAGGCAAACAAGGGATTAAGAGAACACGGCAGTCCAAGAGAGTGTCGACGGAGCACCTTTACAGCTCTGGAAAGACTCTGGTGTTGAGAAAAGACTTTAAACATTTGAATTCTTTGTATTGTTTTAAATGCGTTTAATTGTATTTTAAAATAGCTTTAGACTATCTTTTTAATGAGATTATATTTTAGACAGCTCTGATTTTAGTTTTCTTAGTAAAGTTGTTATGTTCTCCTGAACACATTATTGAGTTAAAATCTTAAACTTAGTAGTTGGCTCCTTGATTACCCAGTTTCTCTCTCTACCTGATTTAAAAGAACCCTTTGCCCTCCTTTACATTTTCACATCTGGCGGAGAGCAAAGAGCAAAGGCCTGTGAGTGCAGCTTGAGGGTTTGAAGAAGACACACTACATTAGTATGGAAGAACCAATAAGCAAAATGCTGTAAATACACATATGACTTTCATGTATAACTTTTTCACACAATATACTAAACAAATTGCCTGTCAAATATAGATGGTTTGAATCATACTGGATTAGTTATCCCTGGCAATATATTTTTGGAGAAATGGACATTTGTCATTTAGCAGTTGCAATGCAAATGCAGCACAAGATGAAACTACAGTACCTATGCCCAGGGAAAAGGGAACTTTGTAAAGTCTGTGGTGCACATTTACCGGTACTTTTAATTACACTGTCCTCACATAATGAAGCCCTGCAGGTATCACGTTTAACATTTGTTATATTTGTATTGTGAACAAACTAATATTTTCGCCCTCGAGCCATGCCTTCAAATTAATTACATTCAGTTGTTGGTATTAGCAGAAATTACTGGTTGCGGTGGTCAGTGATAACCGCAGCTTTGCACCTCCGTTTTAGTTTCTTCAATTTGCTTAATCAGTTCCTGTAAATTACTGTGTGTAGGATTCTTCTCCGCACATACATTGCACAAATGCTGTTGTGTATGATGCACTGCAAAATAGACATGACATGACATGACATGACACTTGTTAGACGCTTTTATCCAAAGCGACTTACATACTGTGGACAATCCCCACAGGAGCAATTTGGGGTGAAGTGTCTTGCCCAGGGACACAACGACATGCTGACTGCAGTTGGACTTGAACTTACTATCCCCTGATTCGAAGTTCAGCGCACTAAGTTCAGCGCACTATCCCACTGAGCCACAGCCTCCCCAAGACTATAAGCAGTTGAGATTTGTGGATATACTGTATTGTTAAACTTTTGCTATTAATCACATTACATTGTCTGTCATGCACATGTTTAACGTCATTCAAACAAGTAATTGCATTATCATTTGACAAGAGCTAAAAGAGTTATCACTTTTCCTCTCTTCAAACTAATCGAAACAACATGAGCAGAGATGGCATCTTCTTTGCTAAAGACTGTGCCGAAAGTCTCTCCCTAACTTTCATGAAGCCATGACAATTTACTCTCTTTATCCTCACTAAATGTTAGAGGAAAAGAAGAAAGTTCATTCGACATTAGCTCTGCTCTCCCCTGCCTGCACCTGCTGCCTACAGACATCGATCACCCACCCCTCCGACACTGACAGCAGGCCACTGGTGTAGCATGAACAAAGGCCCCGAGTAGAAAACCGAAAGCTTATTTTAAAAAGGATTGGAAATTATGTTTTTTGTGTGGTTTCACTCCAAGCACACAGTGTGAGCAACACGGTCAACAAACCCATTTATTTTGTACACTGTTAAGTGAGATGGAAAACTGTTGGGACGGAAAAAGATTGATTTCCACACCTCCCTGTTTCCCTGCCGATACAGTGCATTTAGGTTTTATAGCACAACATTGCATGGTAGCAAGTAAAGAACATAAACAGACTGGGCTCAACTAGAATGTGTCTATAGCTTTACTTTGTCACTGTTGTATTTTGAGCTGTTTTAAAATATTATTTTTCAAAAACTGTCCGATTTCACGCTCTGTCTGAAATGCTGAATCTCTGGTTCAGTCTGCCAAATCCTTCCTCTCGAAAAAACTCATACTTCGGTTAACTCGCGAGAAAAATATGATACTCCTTTGCAAACGTAGTTATAAAGTGCTGAGATGTGGGGCTTAGTAGATTTAAAAGTTTGTGATTCTTACAGATATAGACCAAACCAATAGACAATAGCCTCAACCCCAAGAACAAATTCAAAAAGCTTGGTAGCTGAATTCGTAAACAACTTGTTTAAACAATGTAATGTTATGGAGGGAAAACCCAAGGCAGTAAAGACATGACTTGAACTAATGGATTCTTACATAAAACTGTTAAGAGCCTCTGGCAATGACTGCCCACACTGTAAACACCACACACCATAAACTTTAGTTTTTCTCCAGTTGAGAATGATGAGTGGTATCTGGCAGGCAGACACTCTGGGTGGACGTTAGAATTGGCCGATGCTGTGGCCACACTAGTAAGAACAATAGACAGAGCTGAATACACACACTAATTGGTTGCAATATCACATTTGCTGGATACAGACATAGAGAAAGAAAGAGGTAAACATTTCAGCCGGGAATGTATTGTGCCCAACCATTTGCATCCCCATAAGCCAGTCAGACGTGCTGCTCCTCCGCTGGTGAAGGATTAATGCTCTTCATTCTACATTCACTACATTCAGCCACAAGCTGCTGCTCGCAGATGAAGCGTACTCTTACATGTAGTGTGTGAAAGACAGTCTAACAACCAAACACAAAGCCCTTCGGAGAAACCAGCTGAGCACAGCCAAGCAAATAAAGAAAATGACACACACACCTACATGTACGGTTACACATGGGAGAACTAATCCTTATTCACACAGGCATAGATACACACCCCACAAATAAATCCCTGTGACAGATGTTGGTAATTAGAAGGCAACCGAAAGCTCAGTATTTGAGTATTTAAATCAGAGTTCTTTGGTATATCTCCAGGCAGCCCATATGGAAAGGTCATGTATATGACAGCGAGAGAGAAAATGATGCACGCACGCAGTTGTGCAGCGAG